CCCGCCCCTTTGGAGTGCGATCATCTCGATTGAGAAACACTGCATTAGGGTAACGATACATTGTTGAATAACAAAACAAACCATATCGTCTCAGAATGAAATCGATCAGTTTGTAAAAGAAATATTTTCAAGAATCGAAATTTTCAGAGATTCGATGTCCAGTACTGCCACCACTACATAACGGCTACATTGAAGGTGCAGAAACAAATTTTGGGGCAATGATTGTCTTCAGATGTTTAGAGGCGATGAGTCATATTGGAGCACCGTACGCGAAATGTGAGGAGAATGGACGTTGGTCACATCCAATGCCTAAGTGCTTAAGTATGAAATTTAAAACATTTCCATTTGATACTATGATCATTTTAACTCATTTCAAAGCAAAATCGTGCTGACTGCAAATTAAATGCAATATTTTCATATCATTGATCAGTTCATGTCAGTACTGATTCAATCTTCGACATACCCTTGTCATATGAGCATTGAGTGTGTACGTATTTGAACATCACCATAAATTGGTAATGAGCTAATTTTATATGACTACCGAACAAAGCTTGAGGTCAGGCGGCTGTCGAGTACCCGCCATAGTGAATGGACACATTGATGGTTATTCGGCGTCGCAGCTTGTTTTGCATGGTGAACGACTCAATGTTGAATGTAATGAGAAGTATGAAACTGAAGACGAAACAATCATTTACTGTCATAACGGCACGTGGTCTCATATACCTTCTTGTGTTCCTGGTAATTATCACTGTCATTGTGGTGCTTTTTGTTGTGATGCTATCATTATTGCAATTAATAGTGGGAATGATGTTAACACTCTTATTACAATATTTCTATCGAATTTCCTTGTAGTTGATAAAATTTTTTCTGCAAAAAATAACATTGGCCAATCCCCTTATACGAGTGGAAGATTCCATCTGCTGGGGATAATGGGAAATCATGAGAGGAATCGAGGAAACGGCAAAATAATGCTGATTCATTTCTCGTCAATGATTCTTCAGAAACTCTGCAATAATGTTTTCAAAAGGTTTAATCGATGACAA